CTCATTTTATCATTGCTGCACTGCACCCATCCACCCCAGTCTATTGTTTTGGTGATATGAGGACATTGCTTGTAGTCTGAATGTGAATGTTGATGGAGAAAGAAGAATAAAGAGATTTCAGGAGGTGCACACACGGGGATGATGTGAAGTGCTTTCTGGGTTCTGGTTGCAGTAGATTCCAGGGAACTCAGTAAGGTAAACTGTTGCCTGATGATAGGTAACAAAGGTAGAAAATAACAGAACAAGACTTCCAGTTAATTGCCAGGACAGATTCATGGGGTTTCAAGTACAGAATTGTTGTCGCTGCCGTCCCCAAGAGATAAAAGAATGTAGTAAGGAAGTCACCTCACCCACATTCACCTAAAGCCTGAAATACCAGTTTTCCTGGTCACTAATCCATATGGTAAGGAAGTTCCCCCACATTATTGCTGATTCATGCTTGCTTCTGCTCTGTAGACATGAAGACAGACCATTCTTAATAATATACCGTAAGTCCTAAGTGCGATGGTGTTTGCTATGAATATATGATGAAAAGCAGTAAGCCAGCCATTTGTGTAGAAAATAAGGCACAGAACACCTCCTTCACTAACCGGAAGTGATATTTGAATAATTTTGCAAAGATAATCAGAAATGTAAAGTGATGTTTCCATTAGCAATAAATAACAATATCACTTGTGTAGCAGTCATCCTACTGTTGGGTAAATAAAAGTTTACATAGCAAACAGATACCATGAATAAAGGAGTTAGAAGATCTTTGTTCCAGAGGTCACACCAATTGGGGTTGCTGTATAACAATTATGTTCAGCATCTGGGAAATGCTCTTCACACACCATCCCCTGCCAATAGATGGAGCCAAGGAACACAAGAATTGTCTTCTGCTCCCTGGATTCATCTAGTGGTGGGAATGGGTGGAACATTTATACATCAGCCCCTTTAGTGTTTTTTTGGAAGGGTTTAATTTAAAGTGGTATGCCAGGCAAACGTCTAACACACATGGGTGAATTACATGCATGTTTACCATTTTATTTTTTCAACTTGTTCAGTGAAATCTGGAATTTGCACACCTCTGTTACAAAACACAGCCAGGAAGATCATTTTGGTTGCAGCTTCACCCCCTTTCTGGACCAGCATCCTGCTAATTGGCCAGAGGTGATCATACTTATTTGTGTAATGAGCAGAGTGGTGGCATTGAAAGCCAGATCGCTGAACCATCAAATGTGTGCGACCTGCCAGGCTGAGTAGTGTGACGTATAAGTCACAAGGCTGGCTGTACAGAATTACAACTGCTTTAACATGTAAATAGATGTATTTCAGCAATGTATTTGGCTGTTTGCTTGGAGTCCTACTTTAATGTTATCCATACAGCACAAAAAAAGTGATAAGGGGAAGAAAGCATTGCAGCCGCTGTACCCGTTCCTTTCATCCTTGATTGTGATGTAGAAAGTCTTGACTGATGCATGTAGTACAATGCTCATAATGCATTAATGTGACTTTCTCCTGCTTGACGTATACTAGTGATGTGAGAACTTGATTCATTCACATGGATTACAATAGCAGACAGATTTGTTTACTCTTACTGTTCACATACTGCAGGAGATTGAATTACAGCTATTCTGTCAGGATTCAGTTCAATTACCTTTTTGTCTTTCAGTTTTCAGCCAAAAAGAGTGTCACTTACTGTACTGGCAATTGTAGACATCAATATGCTTTATTCTTTATACTTTTAAGGTGTGATCATCTTGCGTCAAATCCTATTTGGTTTTCCTCTTTTGTTCCAGCATTCCCATAGTTGCAGTAGGTGGGGACAACCCATTTCTATGTCACACATTTATTAATGACTTGTGTGTTTTTACCTGAAGTTTTACTATAAATAGTGGAAGGGCAGGCGGCCCATGTACACAGCGGGTGATGAAAGTCTTCTGAATAGGAAAGCCAGAAGGGTTAAAGTCAAACTCTTGTGCATTTATACTCCCGTAGATGTATTTACAGGCAGTCCCCGGGTTTCGAACAAGATACGGACTGTAGGTTTGTTCCTAAAGTGACATCAAAGGCTATGTAAGTTGGAACAGGTAACTTTTTAAGTGTAAAATCCAGCCAAAATTTTTTTTCCGTTTTGGATAGCATAGGGAACTGTAAAGTTTGTTTTGCTGTGTGTGTGCCCCTGTTCAGAAGATTTCACCTCACTTTCTGTCCCTGTGACAACTGGATATTGAACATTTTGGGTTGGCGTGGAAACAAGGATTGGTGATAAAGCTTCAGTGGAGACGCCTTTTTCCCATGATCACTCTTACAGGAGTGAATTTCCTCTACAAGGGATAGATTTACTTTCACTTCCTGTTGTCTCAAGGACAGGAAGTGAGATTAAATCTTTCTAATGAGGATACAGGCAGCTGTAAAAACCTCTGTGACCCGGAAGAAGAGGTGGACACCCCTCGTCTGCATGTCTAACAAGAGTCAACTTCCTGTAATGTACGTACAGCACTACAAACCAGACCCAAAAAGGCAGGCACTCCTCGTCAGTAACAACTACCCCTGCTGTACAGTAATAGCCTCCGTTTGTAAGTAGAAGTCGGATGTATGTAACTCGGGGACTGCCTGTATATGAAACTAAACTGCCCACCTTCCTCTTCATAATAGTCAAAGCTGGAAGTCCAAATACCAGCTTTTATGAGCTTTATCTTGCTATTCTATAAATTCTCTGAACAGTGCAATCTGTTTTTGTAACTTAAAGCGTATGCCATGACATCATTGGTTGAAAGCTTTTTAGTGTATCTCTGAAATACATAGCACATTCCCCATGTCGTATCCCTTTTAAACACAATGCAAGTTCCTTTCTGCTTTATTACAAAACACATACTTCTCATCTTCTCCCTCCTCTTCATCTCCATAACAGGCAGAGAACACAGGGAGTTATTGTCTAACTGGATTTCTGGTAAAATCAATAGGTGTTTTTTACACTTTCAGAACAGATTCAGCAAAACACGTTTTAATTGGAATATTTAGCAGGCCTGTAGGGAGCAAATAAGAGAAGATCATTGTTGAGTTTTACATGTACTTTGAAATCTTGCTTCTTCTTCCAAACATACTCTTCAGCTATAGCTCCCAACCACAGTATATTGTGTAATTTTAGGATTTAATCCGCTTAACTTGTGTAAATAATGTGAAGCTGGCTGTAACTTCATCTGAGAATGATCCTCTTTGAATTTCTGAGATACAAGCCTTTCACTGACCTATCACACTAAGTAGAGGGAACAGCTACATAGTGCTGCTATAAAATGGTCATTGTGACATGGGCCAATAGGAGGGGAGGACAGATGTTAAAATCAGGGTTTAGGGGCGAGAGGACATGGGCTTCATGTGATCTGAAAATTAGCATTATGGCTGCATTTGCTACCCTTAGGCCTTGTTCACACCAAGCGCGGAGCAGGTGCAGTGCAGTTACAGACCGGAGCAAAACTACGTCCAATGTATTCCAATGGTATTTTTAGCTCCAGTTCACATTGCAGCGTTCAGTTCCAGAGCAGGGAAAAAAACTGCAGCAGGCCCTATTTTACCTGCTCTCGAATGCATCAAAAACGCCTGGAACGCACTGAAAGCCCATTTTAAATGACCAAAAACGGCCCGGAACGCATCAAAAACGCGGCACAACCCACTGCACTGCGTGTGCAGAAACTCATGCAGATCTGCTCTGCATTTGGTGGGAACAAGGGCTTAGGTGTCTATTTACAGGTAAATGAAACAGCGGAAGCTGCTGTATGAATTGGTGTCCACCAGTAGATGGCATGGAATGCCAATTCTTAAAGTTGCCCCATAAGGGCCAGTGTCAACAGACTTTTGTTTGCTTCAGAAATGTTTCAATATCCATAAGTCTATGGCAATACAAAAGCATTTGAAGCATTTACAATGCAGGTAAACTGCACCTGCAATGAATTCTAAATATTTTCCTTTGACCATTGAATTCTGTCAACACAGGCTCTAAGTATGTTACAGCAAAACAATGGCACCCCAACAACGTGATGGGATCCTCATGGTAATAAGGAGGCATTACAGTCTGAAATAGCTTTTCAGGTGTGCCAACATATATAGTAGAGGTGCACCGAAATGAAAGAAATGTCAGACCGTAACAAAGTTTTTTTTATTTTTTTATTATAACTTTTTCAAAACAAATGTAAAATTTTATTTCTATTTCATTTTTATTAAATATTTTTATTTTTTACTTTACTTTTAGGGGCTTTGGGGAAATATTGGGAGTCTAAACAGACCTCTGATAGTTCCCTTGTAAAATAGAAAAAGAGTCCTCCAATGTTTTTCTGCAGCCCCTGTCATAAATGAACAGGAAGCCTCTATACTGAGTGTTCCTGTTCATTCATAACATGAGGAGTGTGTTTACTATAACCACAATCATGAATGATCAGGAGGTGATGTAGATCACATCCCATTCATTCATAATTGAGCCTATAGTAAAAATACTATGTCCTCAATTATGTACAAACATTGTACTCACTCTCCTCCCTGACAGCTGTCACAGGAGGCTGAGCGAGCGGAGCTCAGCCTGCTGTGACAGCGCTGGCTGTCTCCGTCTACTCACCACTCTTCCGATCTGTGGCAGGAGGCTGAGCAGTGTGGGAGGAGAGACACCGGCCGCTCACAGCGCTCGGCCACCTGTGGCAGTTTCTCTCCTCCCCCTGGTGCATCCCTAATATATAGCACCAGTATAATTGCCTATAGTGCAGGTACACGGACTTATAGAAAGTATTGTTGGGTTACTTGTAGTAAAGGCCCTCTTCTGACATGCAGACCATTGTTTTGTGACGATTTCAGTGGAACCCCATGTGGGTTGTTTGGAAATCAAACACCCTCTTTAGACCCAAATGTCTTCTGATTTTTGCTTATTCTAAATGTACCTAGAACTGAACGAATAAGATTTCCTTTACATTACCATTTGTGCCAGACATTTTTGTGGATATGCATCTTATCAATCTCGTTTGTTTTGTCTGCAGTATCAGGAAAAAGAGGAGGTGGTTTTATGGATGAACACAGTAGGACCATACCACAATCGTCAAGAGACATACAAATACTTCTCCCTTCCCTTCTGTGTTGGATTAAAGAAAAGTATTAGCCACTATCATGAAACATTAGGAGAAGCTCTGCAAGGAGTTGAATTAGAATTTAGCGGTTTAGATATTAAATTTAGAGGTGAGTATATGTCCTTTTTCTGAGGTTTTTGGGGTAAATGTATGGTTAAGTTATGGATAAAATGTAGTTATGGGCAGGAGTTATGTGATAAAAATAAACTGTTGATTTTAAAGAAAATATTATGTCTAATGTCTCATCATGAATTTCATGATACAGTGATGATTGCTGTTGGTGGTACCGTGTTTTCTCGAAAGTAAGACCTACCCTGAAAGTAAGACCTAGCGCTATCTTCAGGGATTTCTGTAATATAAGACCTACCCCGAAAATAAGACCTAGTTAGGGGTAGGTCTTATATTCCAGAAATCCCTGAACATAGCGCTAGATCCTACTTCCGGGGTAGCTGCACTGTAATTGATTTTTACATGTTAAGAGCGGCTGCAGCTCCCTCCTCCCCACCCACACAACACGCCCCCTGCCCGCCCGCAAAATAGGACCTAGTGTCTTTTTTCATGAAAAAAAATAAAATAACACAGTGTCTTATTTTCAGGGAAACACTGTATATTCACTTTCATATTGAGAGGGAAGCCACCCATCGCGCACAGATACAGAGGTAGTGTTAAACGTGCCTGACCTTTGGTTGTAATCCAAGCAGCAGGATGTACACCATCAAAGATATTCACACATTGTAGCTGCAATTACAAGTGTTATGAACTGCAAATGCACAACAATTAACCCTTACAATGCTAAGACTTCAAGGTTGAAATGAAATCCATATACAAAATAACTGATCGATCTGATCTTTGACTCCATCATCTCTGCCTATACAAAAATGTATATTGCACAAACATATAAAAGATTTATTATAAATATATGAATCATTTCGTGGGAGTACCAAAATAAGTGTCCAACTTTTACACTTCCATAAGACTCAGCCAAGTTACAGAGAGCCTGTCAAACACTGGCACATTGGAATCCCTGCCTGTGCCATTGGTTAGTGCTGTATTGCAGAGAAGCTGCTCCTAGAAGGATCTTCTGATTCCGCCACTTAGGAGCGCAATGTTTTTGGACCCCCACCATGCAGTGCATTTTCTGCCACCAGCCCCTATGTCACAACTGTGTCTTGTAGTATCAAGGAGCTGATGGAAAGAACCAAAATGCGCCCTGGGGACCAAGAATCTGCCACTCCCAGAAGTGTTGGATTCAGAACATTCTGCCAGTGCCAGCTTCCCTGCAGCACAGCAGAGATTGTGGTGCAGGGCAGTAACAAATACATATCTTCATAGAGGGCACAATTGTTTACACATTTCTTAAAATTTTTAAAATTAGAGAGAAGTACTGCAAAAGCAAGAGTAGATGTCTGTTCATGGGCATAATGACTATAGTGCCATTTTAGGTAGGACATGTTCAGTGAAATCATCTAATCTACACTGTAAACATGTGTGGGGCTCAGATCGGTTGCATTTTTAAAAGTAATGCCTAATAAATATTGAATGTTCACACTGCAGGTATGTAAACATTTAAAAAACTTAAACTTTGGGGTAAACTCGATTGTTCAGTCTGTACTCAGAAAAGATGTGTTTTTAATGGAAATTTGTTGTCTTTCTTTTTACACAGATGATGTCATGCAGGCAACATATTGTGACATAGAGTTGGACAAGGCAAAGAAAGATGCATTTGTTTACGCAATAAAGAATCACTACTGGTACCAGATGTACATAGATGACTTACCAATATGGGGTATGGATCTAGGCTTTTCTAGTATATAATTAAAGAGAACTACTTTGTGCAAACCAGTGCTGTCAAATGTTGTATGCATCTGTATTCACCTTATTTAGTGGCCATAGACTTGTGGTAGGAAGGTATATTGGAGGACATGACATAATGAAATCCTAAGAGATGGTGATGAGCAGTTTAAGGGTCACTACTTTATTAATCACATTAATATCAAACCTTGTACAGTTGTATTGAATAGTTTAGGCACAAGCTTGCATGTTATGTTGATCTACAGCTTGGGACCTTTAATGTACTCGGAGAAAATGATTTTGCAGTAAGTCAAAAATCTCATGTTTTTAATACGAAATTACTGTTTGCTAAATTTAATAGATTGGAAAAAGAAAATGTGATGTGTATAAAAGTTTGGGAACTCTGTCAGTACACCACTTCAGGCATGTTCTTAAACCTACAAACATTCTTTCTGCTCTCACTTGAAGACAGTCTTCCTATTCTTGTAGAATGTTTCTAGATTAGAAATATCCTTAGGTCATCTCTCATGCACTCATGTTTGACATGTACACACATATTTTTATGTTATATTTTAAATGTTATTTATGCCTGAGGATTGTAAAGGCCATTCTAAAACCTTTTATTTTTTTTCAAGTAGTTGAAGTAGTTCATGGCTGATTTTAATTATAGCCACACTTCACTTTCATGCTTGGGGAAAAAAATTGCATTTTCTAACTGGCCACAGACAGCTCAAAGTTGGCTAAATCAGCCGAAATGTCAACCATTGGTGGCCCTTTAAGCACCACAAGTCAATTTAAAAATGAACTGAGCTGGGTGCCAAATTATAGGACAAACAGTTGACTGCATCCTATCAGATTCAAGTCATTGTTGGGCAGTGACATTGTATTAAAGTTGAATTCAATAGCCAGCAGTGGAGTTTCTTCTTTCCAGGTTTTTTAGCAGAGAGGAGAATCGATTCATTTTCTCTTGTTCAGTCTGCAGGCTTAACAAGAGGAAAAGAGCTGTACGTGGCTAGCTATTAACAGGAAAAATCGTGTTTAAAAAAAAAAAAAAATGTTTATTTTGAATAGAGTCAGGGAGAGTGGAAATAATGGGTTAGTGTTGAGAACTGTCCTTATTTCCTTTCCTGGTCATTGGGACTGGAAGTAAAAACCTGTGCAGTTTTTTTATTGCTGTCTGTATCGTGATTGAGAATCTACCATCCAATGCATTTAAGACTTCTCCCCTTTATTAAGAATGGCAATCTGCATTGCATTGCTGTATAAAGCAAAGATTTTAATACCAAGTATTCATTTGTAATTAAACCTTCAACATGCCACTGTAAAATTGCAGAGTTGCACTTACAAGACGGATACAATTAGTCAATATCCAAAGACCGAAAACTCATCCACTTCCCAGTCTTCTCTGCTTGTTAGCAGACCCTCAAAATGGTCCAATCCTGGGTAAAGACACTTGCACACATACAAATGAACGCTGTCCTATTAAAAAAAAAAAAGAATGGGAGAGAGTTTAATACGGGTTGACAAAACTAGGGATGCACCGATATATTGGCCGCCGAAACATAACTGCCATTTTCAGGCCGATACAGCGATGCATCCTTTCTTTCTCTCCTCCCCGCTGGGTGCTGCTCTGTGTCCCAGCGGGGAGGAGAGAAACTGCCACAGGCGGCCGAGCGCTGCGGGAGGAGAGCGCCGTGAGCGGCCGGCATCTCTCCTCCCGCACCGCTCAGCCTCCTGTCACAGATCAGAAGAGATCAGTGTGGGCGGAGACAGCCAGCGCTGTCACAGGAGGCTGAGCTCCACTCGCTCAGCCTCCTGTGACAGCGTGTTGGGAATCAGAGCGAGGTACAAACACTCAGCAATCAGTGATTGGTGAGTGTTTGTAAATCATTGAGGACATGGTAGGTTACTATATCCTCAATTATGAACGAATGGGAAGTGATCTACTTTACCCTCCTGTTCATTCATGATTGTGGTTATAGTAAACACACTCTGTCCTCATGTTATGAATGAACAGGAACACTCAATATAGAGGATTCCTGTTCATTTATAACGGGCTGCAGAAAAAGAGAGAGAGGGCTGTGTCCTCAATCTCTTTTTCTATTTTAAAAGGGAAATAACAGGGGTCTGTTTTAGACCCCCAATATTTCCCTGAAGCCCTGAAAATATTTAATAAAAAATGTTTCCGTTTCGGGCTGACCTTTTTAAAAAAAAAATTTATTTCGGTTTCGTTTCGGTTTTGAAATTTTCATTTTGGTGCACCTCTAGACAAAACCTCTATCCACATGGAGCTGTTCAGCAGGAGAGAGAAGCTCCACTCCCCCAGTGCCATTTATATACAGATGAATCCATGCCACTACTTCCTAATAGGTAGAGATTGGAACTGGAATGGTTCCTGATCTTTTACATCGGCCGCCAATTGGATTTTTAAAAATCTGTTAAGGATAAGTGCATTTTAAAATTTAAGTGTACTTATCTTTTGCCTTTTTTCCCTAACCTAACCCACCCTTCCCCTCTACGAATGCATACTTGCCTCAATCCTCCTTTTTCTTCCCTCTATATTATACTGTCTGATCCCGCTATCTATTTCACCTGGTGGGCTGGCTCAGCCGCCACTACAGCGGCGAATGACTGGGTAATTGTGGAAGAGAAGCAACCATCAACTTACTGCAGCAGCTCCGTGCCGGAGCATAGAAACATTCAGACTGCAGCCTCACTACTGTTACTATTTTTGCTTTCCTGAATCCAACTAACATTTCCAATAACAGAGAAGTAGACTATAGATGAGACTCTGTTTGTAATCCATATAAATTTTTTCTTTTTATGCCTCCCGTTTTAGAACGGTTATGGTTTGAGTGGCTCCGCTCCACTGACATCGATTTGTTGTTTATCGTTTATCGTTTTATCGTTTATCGTTTTTTGTCGAAAAACATATTTTTTCCTTTTGAGTTAAGGATTTATTCATCTTTCACCTTGAGTGGCTCCGCTCCACTACCGCAGATTGCTTGTATATGATTACATCTTTCAAATATGATGGACAACTTGTAGTTCCGCTCTAGATCACCATCTCACTGTTTTATTGTCTGGCACAATAATTCATAGGTAGATTTCACTTAGACGGCAGTCCACAATCCATTTTTTTGCACCAATTTCACTGTGCGCCTTTGGGTTCACAGTTTATACTAGACACGGCTATTTAGCACTTTTTGATACTTTTCAAGTCACTTCCGCTTAAAAGCCATCACTCAGTTTTTTCACATACTTTATTTATTAGCATTTGTGATCACACATCCACATTTAGTATATACACATTAGTTTTTTTTTTATAGATTGTGTTCATTTAATTGTATTATCACCTTTCACCACATCGATTTATATAAACTATTGTTTTGATGATATATCACGGACAAACCAAATAGATTTTGAACCGAGCGCAACATACAAGCCTTCCATTTTACATCTATACATACATTGTTGCGGCTGGTGCCGACATACCTACTTCCAGCGCAAACTATTTTGTTTAATATATTTGCCTCAATCCTGGCAGCAGTGACCTCTGGTAAGGCCTGTCTCCCTTAATTTCTGGTCTTGGGACACTGCCCCATAGAAGTCTATTGGTATGTAATGCACAGCCACAACAGTCAGGCTTGCCATTCTGGATGTAAACAAATACAGGTGGCCAGGTCCATTGCATCAAGCAAAGTATACATCTGTGGCAGCTGGGTTACTATATGTCAGGATAAAGGTTTAAACTGCACTTAACCTTTAACCCCTTCGTGACTGACGACGTACAGTGTACGTCGCCAGCATCGGGGCTGTTTAAACAGACTCCCGGCGACTTTTGCCGCCGGGACTCTGTTTAAACTTGTAGAGCCGACTGTCGGCTTTACAACAGAAGCGATCCTGGCGACTTACCTGTCGCCAGATCGCTTCTGCGTCCCGAAGAAGGGGCCGCCCCCCCCCCCGCCGGACACCCCCGCCGTGCTTCCCGGGCTCCGTTGCCCCTCCTACGGGCCCGGGACCGGCGATCTTGGTGTCCGCGGGGAGCTGGGGAGGAGGTCGACGAACTTCCGTTCATCGATCCCCTCCCCGTTCTATGGGACCGGGAGCGATGCAGATTGCATCACTTCCGGTCCCTGGGCTGTCAGTTCTGGGCTCCTGCAGCCCAGCTATAAGCTATTGAAGTGCGATCTGCACTTCAATAGCTTATTTCCAGTGTAAAGGTGACACTGGGGGTCTTTTGGACCCCCAGCATCACCTTAAAGAGTACCTGTCACCACCATCTGCTATCACATGGGGGGGCTTGTAAGCCCCCCCATGTGATAGCAGTCAAAGTAAAGTAAAAAAGTTTTTCAAATTAAATTTAAATAAAATAAATCTAATAATAAAAAAATTAAAAAGTCCCCCGCGAGCACGCGCGTCGCCACGTAAACACGCGTCGGGTGCGCCTACGTATAAAAACGACGAACGCGCTACACATGTTGGGTATCGCCGCGCACGCCAGAGTGAGAGCAATAATTCTAGGGCCAGTATTTTGGGGTATCTCTAAATTGATGACCTGTGGGGGCTTTTAAAGCGTCTTCTATGGACTTTTTGGGGTACTGGGGTTTTTCGCCGTTTTACGGATGCACGCAATTTGTAACATGGGCATGTTGGGTATCGTTTTACTCGTTGTAACCTCATCTTTTATATTTCATTAAAAAAATTGGTATTTTGTGTTTTGGGGCATTTTAATTAGATTTTTCACTAAATATTGGGGTTTAAAAAGGAGTTGCGCTAATATTGCGCAACATAAAAATTTGCAACTACCACCATTTTATTCTATATGGTCTTGGCATTCTGAAAATATATAATGTTGGGGGGTTTTAAGTAATTTTCAGGCCTAAAATTTGGAGTATAACATGGGTACAAAAAATGGAAAAAAGGCCTCAGTCATGAAGTGGTTAAATTCAGCAAATACATTATAATTGTCCTTTCAGGTTTGCAGGAGTAAGTGTTTACATACAGGGGTTGAGTTGACTTTATTGCACTTAGAAAATGTATGAAATTGGCTTTTTGATCAAGGGTACCCATACTTTTGAATAGGACTAATTATTTAATACAGCCACAAAATGGTATGCTTTCAAATGAAGAATACCATGCATTTACATTGCATTCCCTATTAATAAAATGAGCTCAGAGGCTGTAAAATAGGAAATTCTAAGTAGTTTCCAAAAATGATATTCATGCATATTTACAATGTGTCCCTCTTTCTACAGGATGTCCCCTCCCCGTTTTTAAATTTTACCGTGTCCTGTGGGAAGTCTTGGTAGGCAAGGGGCAGCACACAAGTTGCCCAAAGCTGTTGCAATATGAAAGATGTATGTTTTTCCCTTCACAGAAAAATGCCCACCCATTTTTGTGGGATTGTTGTCAACTCTGTGAATGGCAACAGCAACTATAAATGCAAGTGTGCACTCCTTCATACAGTCCAATACTGCACTCCAGATCCATCAGAATGCTTCACAAACACCCATGTACACTAACCTTTATGGAGGTATGATTTGACAGAGGGTGTACATGAAACATTGGGACACTGCTAATTTTAGAAGTAGTTTCCTTGTGGCTGTGCGATTGGCACTGGGGCCTGGGTCAGTTCCTGCTAATACAGTGGGTGTATCACTGCTTGGATTCCCTACTCCTACTCCTATTTCATCACACAACCCAGAAACAGACCGCTAGTTTAATTGGCCCTGCAGTACTTGGGTATCGGCTTTTAGGGTATAAATGGTAAGGTGGACACTGACGTGTGTGACATTTTATAAATTAACAAATATAAAAAGTTGACAACCTACATTTTTTTTAAATTACACTAAAGGTCTCTTCTCTAGAATACCAATACAAGCTTAGCAGTTGTATTTAAGGTAAAACTGAGCAACCAGGAGGTGGTTGTCAAATTGGCAGCCAATGTCATTATACAGTTTGTGGAAAAAGCCCTACCGTGAGTTTCCCTGTATCTTTATCCCAAGTTGGCAATGTACAACTGAAATCTGGTTGCTATGGGTTACTGCATATTCCACCTTGTGCTGAATAAAACAAGCAGGCTGGCTGTGAATACTGAATGGAGCTGGCTTGTATGTTTGCTCAAGGTCTTTCAGCTTTTGTACCAGTTCTTTTGGAATTTTGTTCTCCCAAGTTTATTGTTCATCTCTTGTTAATTGCAGGTATTGTTGGAGAGGCTGATGAAAATGGAGAAGATTATTATCTTTGGACATATAAAAAGCTTGAAATTGGCTTTAACGGAAATCGTATTGTAGATGTAAATCTCACCAGTGAAGGCAAAGTGAAGCTTGTCCCCAATACCAAGGTTCAAATGTCTTACTCTGTAAGTAAACTGTACAGCTCAAATACTTCTTGATATTTTTTCAGTTGAGTGTTCGGGGTTTGTTAAGCAAATACAGGACTCGCATTTAGCAGACAAAGACCAGTTTTTGCATCTTAACCTTTTGAACCTCTTTGTGTTTGTGACATGTTATTCAATAGAAGAATCCTACTGCACTCCTTACTGGTATGTCCCTTGTAGTGGGTTCTGTAGTGACTGCGGATGGCGCCGCTTCAGATTCATGTAGTAAAGTATGTCACCAGCACACCAAGGTTAAACCTTCAAGCAGTGATCATTTTAATGATGCACACCAGTGGCGTAACAACCGGGGGTGCGGGGGGGTCACTTCCCCCGGGCGCAGGACTGAGGGGGGGCGCCGTCACGACCCCCGCTAAACGAAGCCATGGCTCCCTCTCCCTGACACGATCACCTGGCTACACACATCTTGTCACATAGCAACGTTTCTGGGCCACTCAGGGTCCCTTCATCAGGCATGACGACATGAAGGGATCCTGAGTGGCCCCGAAACGTTGCTATGTGACAAGATGTGTGCATTAATAAAATGATCACTTCTTGAAGGTTTAACCTTGGTGTGCTGGTGACATACTTTACTATTTGATGTTATTGGGTAGGACACATCCTAGGAGTAAAGTAGCTAAGTAGGGCTTTGTTGCTTTGCACAGTGCTGTCCGTTTAACACTATGAATATGTGTGCAGGAGAAAAAGGCAAAGCAGAGGATGTGGAAGTCCTTGTGAATTCTCTATTATGCCACAATAGTGGATGTCAGGATGACCTGGCTCAGCAGAAAATTTGGCCAGTGTGACAGTTTACAAAGTGTATTTCAACTGTGTATTTGGTTAAGGCTCCGGTCACACATTAGCGGTTTGCACAGATGTGCGCTAAACAAAAAAACAAATACATTTCAGTGTAACTGGTTCACACCTGTGCAACGTCCTCACTGTATGAAAATGTGTGTTGCGCAAAAAAGTCCAAGCGTTTCTGGGCGTTTTTTGCGGATTCCGCACATTCCAGCTATAGTAGTAGCCGCAAACATGCGGAATCCACGCGTATGTTAAAATGTGCACGTTTTCCACGTGGAAACCGCAAACGCGATGTGTGAATGGAGCCTTAGGCCTGGTTAACGAATAGGAGTTTTTGAGCAGTGAAAAAACAGGTTTGTTTAACTAATGAATGTAATATGATTTTAAATCAGCATGCAGAGCTGCATGCTGCAGTGATTTTTAGTAAAAAGGGGTAAAGGTCCACTTTACATTAAAGGGAATAAGAAAAATTCAGTTTTGGAGTTTTCAGAAAAGAGTAAGTAAAAGGTGAGCAGCAATATTTATTTTTTATAAGTTATGTTATGTGAATAGGTAAAAGTAACACAAAGTCAGTCCCCGTTTACACCACCGGCATTTGTGGCTCGTATTTGTGAGCACTGAAAACCTCAACACAAGCCTGTAGCTGGAAAAAGTACATGAGGGTTTTTTTTGGGGCAGATCAGCGCAATTTGCCCCTTTTTCCTATTGAGTCTATGGGGACTCACGTTCGCAGCATGCGGTTATTTGCGCATTATGAACATTTTTAATACGCATTTCACCGCACGTACATGAAGACGCTCGTTTTGACTGGCAGCTCATAAAACCTTGCGTGCAATGGAAAAACATGCATTTAAACGTGCAAAAACGCTCACGAAAATGTGCAACATGCTTCTGCCGCGTGTTTTTGGGCATTTCCTTACTTGGGGCTTTTATCTGCCCAAAGAAGCTCATGTGCCTTTTCGGGCATTTGGCGTTTTCCTGCTCAGGTGTGAACCAGGGTCATTGAAAATCATGGGATTTCTTCGGTTGGGCATTTAAAAGCGCTTTCATTTACTTACAAATAGAGTATCTACTTCCTGGTCCACTTCTGGCATAAATGATGTAATGTGCCAAAGCATTGCATCTTGGGAAGGTTACATCAGCAGGGGATTGCTGGGAAATCTCATCTGTAATCTCATGAGATCTCAGGGAAAGGCATTTTCCTCCCCCGAGATGATGGGCATGGTCACATGTCCTAGTCACATGTGCCAGAGTTCCAGGAAGTAAAGGGAGATCTAGTAATCTGCCCTTAGTTAAAAAAGCCACTGCCAGAAGGCTGGGGAAGAAAGGAGAAATAAGGTATGCAAAGAATACAAAGCTGGCAATTATTTAGAAGTATCTGTTTTGTAGATTGTCATCATTAAAAATTTCTAAAGGTGTATTTGTTGTTATTTTAAAGATCTGGGTAAAGGAACGCTTTAAAGGAGAACCATGGGGTGAGTGAATTACACTCATCCCCAAAAGTTAGAGCCGACGTGTGACATTGAAACTGTAACGTCAGCTGTATTGATCAGCAAGTGGGCAAACACATATTGCTGCTTGCTCACTTATCGATCATCTTCCTGCAGAGGGATTCCCCCCTCCTCCAGCTCTGACTGGAGGGACAGATGGGGGAGAGGGCGGGCATAGCTGGCTCTGCCTCTAGATAGGCTGAGCCAGCTGTCAATCAGCCAACGGTGTGGATCTCCACAATATTGTCGGGATCCGTCCCGGCTGCGGTGCTTTCCGCACATAGCGGGTAATAGCCTGCTATATACAGAGTTTTGGGTCACGGGAGGATGTTCGTAAAGAGAACTACGGGAAATAAAGGTTACCCCATGGTTTTTCTTTAATGTGGGGGCTGGGGTGGTCATGTTTACCATAAATAACTCTGCACTGTGCTGGCAGATCTTATTAGTTGTAAACTAGATTTTAGCTGTGTCCTAACAAAGGGTTAAGGATCTCAGACATGCCTTGTGTTCTGCTTTGTGTGTTAATGAGAGGCACCCGAGTCTGCCCCCACTGTGACCCTCCACTCTCCCTTTTAAAATTGTTCAGAGTAGCTGCCCCAAAGTGTAGCTGCAGTCTGCCCAAATGCCTGCTCCAAAAAAACTAAAAGCTAAAAAATATATAGTTAAAAAATAAATAAATCTTTAGGTATGCTGTGCAAATGGAAACATAACACATATAGAGGGGTTTTCTTTACTTTGACAGCACAAATGGAAATACACTCCAAAGACTTCTTCCAATCCTCTGTGTTGGTATAAACGTCACCAGTTTAAATTGGCTTTTCAAACTCCTTTTTGGAGTGGCATGCTCTAGGCCTGTCACCCTGGTCTTAACTTTACTGCTTACAGAGTTGCTGCCCTGGAACAAGCATGTAATAAAGGAAGTATAAAGAGGATATCCCCTGAACCTGTCAGCTTGCAAAAACGTATGACTGAGCCATTGACCAAGTGTGTTGATGTACATTACTGAAAGTAACCTGAGTTACAGAAGATGAAACCATTCCTTGGCTCATTTTCCACAAAGCTGGAAATACCCTATTCAAATTTTCTGATTTTATATAAGTTTAGCAAATTAATGAGATGAACCCCCGATACCCCCAGGAATACTGGGTGAGATGTTTGCCAAATCCAATCATTTCCCATTTATTAGTACACGGGTCTCTATTTTGTGGATAGTAAAGCATAGCTGTTTGCCCGATTGGGGCTTAGAATAACCTTTTTGTGCTCTGCAGCTGCATACCTCAACAACCATATAAGTAAAGGGAAACCAGTTTGGGTTGATAGTATAATGTATATAGCATTTATTACCTGGAATACGTAAGCATGTTTTCTAGTAGGTTAGCTTGTGAACATCATGAATATTTTGTAACATTTGTCATTCTTTCATCTATGCAATCTTCACAAATCTGATTAATCCGGAATATCTTCTTTTAGGTTAAATGGAAGAAATCTGATGTTCGGTTTGAAGATCGATTTGATAAATACCTTGACCCTTCATTTTTCCAGCACAGGGTAAGGCCCTCCGAAATCACCATATTCTATTACACTCCTCCTAAACTTTGTTTTTGTATGTGCCTTAAGGTGGCCATACACTCTACAACCATCGCAAGACTTTAGTCTTGCGATGGTTGTAAAGGGATTAAAAAAACGTACGATCTGCCTATCTTGGACAGGCAGATCGCACTCTCGATCATCGCAAGCCCACCCCCCTGAGGGGCGGGCTTCCGATGACCGCAATGCTGAACGGGCAGTGTGCGCGTGCGCACACCGGCCCGTTCAGCATTTATCTTCCGAGCACCGTTCTAACCAGCGTATCGTACGATTCCCGGCTGGTTTTCGAACATGCTGGTTCGACAGAAGACGTGCGACCGTACAGTAGAAACGGTTGCACGTCTCCGTTCACACTGCTCGATTATCGTACGAAAAACCGATCGCATACGATTATCGTACGATAATCGTGCAGGGTATGGGCACCTTTAGACTCAGGACAGTAGAAACTGACTCCGCAAATGCAAACTATGAACACGGCCTTTGTTACTAGTGTAACACACTAACACGTGGCCTTTGTGTTACTAGTCATACCTTTTGTTTACGTTTTTATGTAGTCTAGCGTGTGGTTATCAATTTAGTACATGGCTTTTATGGCACATTTATCCTAATTAAATACAGGGGCCATACATGTTGAATTCTTCTTAAAGAACTCCAGGGATTTTTAATATCCTTGCTGTGGGGTTACCCCGGCGCTGCAAGGGTTAACTGCTAGTTTTCCTTTTGGGGTGAAAATAAAGAAGAAATACTCACCCGATCCGCAGTCCTGTGACTGCTCACTTTTCTCCGCTTTGGCTGTGGTATGTCCCACCGCATCTTCATGTCTAATAGACCTGTATTAGGCATGATGACGTTACGGGTCCTTAGCCTGCCAAAGCCCAGCGAAGAGGAGGCAGCAGAGACCAGTCTAGAAGCCAGGTGAGTATTTCTTCTTTATTTTTTTTTGCCCCTGGACATAACGAGTGGTTAACCCTTGCACTGCAGGGGTAGCCTCACTGCAAGGGTTAATATTTAAACATCCTCGTTTAACTTTAAATTTTAGCTCCAGTTATTTATTTATTTTTCTTTTCAATGTATGTTGCTGTCTGCTTTTGTAGAGATTGGCTCTCCGCCATATCTCCTAACAGTGTTGTCCCTGGAATAGGAAGTGAAAGGACATCCTCTCAAGCTATGCATCAAGACTACTGACATGATCTAATCCCGTCCTTTCTATTTCCAAAACTTAAAACAAAATGCCTTAATGTGTACTCTGCAGTGTTATTTGTAAGCATGAATTGATCATTTGCATGGTTTATTTTATTTATATACATATGCTTACTTTCTTTTGGTATTTATCTTGGTGTTGGTTTTTTTCCCCCCCTAGATACACTGGTTTTCAATCTTCAATTCTTTCATGATGGTTATATTTTTGGTGGGATTGGTATCTATGATTCTTATGAGAACCCTCAGGAAAGATTATGCCCGATACAGCAAAGAGGAGGAAATGGATGACATGGTAAGAGCTTTGTCTTTGTACTTCGACTGGTACACAATGGCAAACTGCATGGAAGTCTTACTATTTTACATATGTCCATCATTAGTATTCTTAGAGTCTAAGTCTGTTTTAAATTGGTGAAGGAGTTTTATTTGCCATAGTAGTAGAAGGAAGAATTGTAATTGCACATAGCTACCAATCAAGTTTGGAATGAAAGGAAGAACCTAGTTACTGCTCATACATGGTTATTCCCAGGGCACACTTTGATGAAGACACTTAGTTCTCCCGCGGTTTGTTTACATTTTAAAGGCCAAGGAAACTTGTGTTACTGGAAGCTGAGTACTCCAGTTTCCACTCAATCCCGCAAGACATGCTGGTAGGTTAACTGGCTCCTGTCTGAAGAAAAATTGTCAGTAGTGTGTGTATGCATGATAGATTTCAAGCTCCTGGAGGGCAGGGACTGAGGTGAAGGTGCAGTATGTAAAGCACTGCCTAAAGTGTTGCTGCTATATAAAAGCGCTGCCTAAATGTTGCCGCTAATAAATAAAATCTGTCTCTGAAGGAAGGGGGCAAACCGCTGTAGGTATAAAATGCAGTGCCCTAAAAGTACCTGCGTGTACTTTTAGCAACCTTCCAAAGACCTTTGGTCAGACCCCGATCCTTTGCCAATTTGACAGGCAAAGCTTTGGCCATTCCTGATAGTGTTGAAACCCAATCCTTCCTGTCATCTACATATTCCTGTTGGCCAGTGAGGCTGTCCATCAAAGTGGTGTGAGTGGAGCTTAGCACCTAGATCTGTTACTGTGCAAAAGTGTTGAAACTTTTCCTGTCAGATCACTCTGGCATTCAGCATTAGAGCATTTAGGAGGCTGCTGCAGGTATTTGCAGGCACCTCTAGGTGCTTGTGTTCCATACCTGCAGAGGTTTGCTGCTCCTTTTAAGTGGCAATGTCTTAAACACCTTCATGTCTGCTTTTTGTGAATTGGCATTCCCCAAAGGGAACACTTTGTACAGCTGCTACCTGTCAGATCTGACTATCACTAACTGTCCTGCTTAGTAATCAGAATGGTTTCCCATCATGTGATCACAGTTATGCAATGGATACCACATGCAGGCTAGAGGCTTCATTCACAAAATAAGATTGCCATTGCAGGCTTAAAATGGCGGCAGGTTCTGTTTTTATACTGTCATTTTCAAATAAAATACATTTTCTTTTCCATTTTTGTGCATTTGTCAGCCTATAATAATAATTTAAAAAAACATTTGTTAATAAAACAGTTGAGCAAAAGCCTTATATGTCTTTAGGGCATGTACGGATCATGTCCAGACCTGAACAGTTTTTTCCCGGACCAAAAAAGCATCCCTATGGTATTTCTGGGCTCTTCACACCAGCGCAGGTCGTTCTGGTCCAGACAAAAAAAATATTGCTTGTCTCATTTTCTCTGATCTGGAATGCATGGAAACGCTTCAAAAACACATACAAATGCACTGGACTGCACCTGAAAGCCCATTTTAATCTAAAAAACAAACGGCACTAGAACGCTGCAAAATCGCTGTAAAAATGCACTGTGTTTGCAGGTCTGCTCCGGGTCTGGCCCAGGCATAGTGTGAACATAGCCTTAGAGTAGACTTTGTAGTACAATAAAAGGTCAGCATAAACTGTCCTGGACCCCTTCCCTTGTATAAATCGCCTGCCTATGATGATCTAAAAGTAAAAAGTTAGATTTTATACTTGCATTACTCCATCTTCTGCATAGCTGCATGTGACATCATCATCCTTCCAAGACGATGTCTAGGCAATGCAGAGCAGCTTAGATCTTACAAGACACTCCAGTCCCTTGCAAGAGCCGCCTCTTGTGAGATTTGGGCTTCTCTGTATTTCCCAGGATCTCACCAGAAAGACCGTACTGTCATCATTGTCTAGGCACCACGGTGGGATGCAAGTATAAGGTGAGTATAAAATCTTTTACTTTAGGGGGAATGTTTTTACCTACTGTCAGCAGGTGATATATGCAGACCTGGCACTGCACTGCAAGGTCAACTTTAAACTAATGTAAACATTTAGATATGCAAACTAGTTATAAAGCTTATAGTCAAGTTAATCTATACGTACCGATTGCTTAATTTGGTCTCTAGGCTTCAAAGCCGTCTGGTTACAAAAGGGTTAAGGAGGCAGTTTACATTGCTAGGAAATGTTTTGTTTCTATCCATTGAAACATTCTATATTTGAGCAGCTTGTGATATGGAATGCATTTTAAATGTTATATCTTGTCTGCATTTTTAAATGCCTTTTTCCTTCTTATGTAGGATCGTGATCTAGGGGATGAGTATGGCTGGAAACAGGTCCATGGGGATGTTTTCAGACCTTCCAGTCACCCTCTTATGTTCTCCTCACTTATCGGGTCAGGATTTCAGATCTTCTCAGTTTCTCTTATCGTAATTCTTGTGGCCATGGTTGAAGACCTGTACACAGAGTGAGTAGGATCTTTTTTTTTTTTTTACACTTTATCTTCAGTAAAATTGACCACCTTTCTGGCAAGTTCACCACAATAAGTGAAGATTTCCCAAGCTTCATTTATTTTACCCAAAACAGGTTTCACAACTTTGGTTAAATGCTGGCAGTTTGTTGCGGAACAGTATCGCCAAAAGTCATGAGATCTCAGTTAAGTTGTCCCTGATATCTCACCCAAGTGAAGTCATTCAGCCCGGCCGGCATCTTCTGTTTTTAAGTCAGGCAAGAAGGTGGCACCAGAGCTTTGCATGTGTTTCCCAGATGCTTTCTTTTGTGAATACAGCTTGAGATTTCAGTTTGGGGTGGACTTGTCCTTTAGGGTCTGTGTACACGGGCTTATGTTTGAACTGGTCTTTCAATACTTTGACATTAAAAATGCGAAACTTGTTTATTAATTCAGAAAGATCTTGGAAGCATTTAAAACTGAGCTAGGCTTGAAGTGTAATGCACCTAAAAGCACTTTGCATTTGCCTAGCTACTGGAGCCTGTAAATTGCACTTGAATATCCCGTGAAGTATTTTTACTTGTATTTTTGGTGATTATTGTTTATGCAGGCACATAGTGATACCTTACAAATCCTTTTTTAATTATGGCAACTTTGCAGGAGCACTTATTAAATAAAAAGGCAGGCATAACAAGGTGTTTAATAAAAAAAAATTCGGTCCAAAAGAGCCTTTCCTCTCTCTGAGCTTGATATTCCTTTTTTCCAGAGCTTTCCCAGCCCATATTTAATTTTTCTGTCTAGTGACATTGCACTTGCTGGCTGCTTAGGCACTCTTAGGCTGGCTGAAGGGTTAGGTCAGAGGTGGGTACTTTGTTACAGTACTCCACGACTAAGCGCCCCATCTGTCCCTAACCTTTCCCTGTCCAATGAGAGTGGAGCATTGCTGTAACCAAGTGAAACTCTGATCAGAGTGGCACACAGATTAGGCTTTTCTGGCTAATTAAGATACAGTATGGACCTTGTTTTAGTGTTAAAATGGTTGAAAGTGTCACCTATGTGATCATCCTCCTTTGTTCCTTTATAATATATCAATAGCTGCTACTGCTAAACAACAAAACAGACAAGACCCGGGGTAATGCTACATTGTTGTTGGCACATTCTGATGTTAGAATGTCATCAGTAAAAATGTTTTATGTTGTGCCTGTTTGTCATCGTTTGTACCTTGTTTGTGGATTCTGATCCTCTTCACCACTGACAAATGCAAGACGAGTTCTTCTAAGGAGACTTCAGATCCCTAATTTATTTAGCGCTTGTTGTGTGCATTTTACATTCTGTAGCACCCATTTTATATTGGTAGCTACTCACTATATATATCACTTTAATCAATTTAATGTCCACAATGTACAGCAATGCAGTGTTACTACTTGTACGTATGAATCAGTTTTTCTCGCATATGTGTATGACATCCTTTTATTTTTAATTTGGTTTTCTTCTAGGAGAGGATCAATGCTCAGTACTGCAATATTTGTTTATGCTGCCACATCCCCAGTCAATGGTTACTTTGGAGGAAGTCTCTATGCTAGACAAGGAGGTAAAGGCTTTCTGTATTTTGTCACAGCCTGTGTGTTTTTTCTTTTGTCATGGTTATTTTTAGATGCACCATTTCTATCCCTAATCACCAGGGCTTGAAAAATCCAGAGGACGCCGGAGCCGGACGAGTAGCTTCCCGGCCGGCCAGGGGTAATTAAACGGCCGACCGGGAGGTTTACATTCAAACGATCGGGCATCTCTAGAGACGCCCGATCACTTGTATTAGCTGCGGTTTTACCCCCTCAGCCACCGATGTCACTGCCGGCCCCGAGATACGCTGTGCCCGGTGCAGCCAGGACCGGCACGGCTGCTCTGTGACGGGAGATTGGTACACAATCTCCCTCTGACCTCCCCTCCAGTCCCTGAATGCAGGAAGTGATGTATATTACATCACTTCTGCATTCTGCTGTCATTCCCAGCTACAGATGCCGGTGAGAAGCTGCTGAAGCAGACCTTGGCTTCAGCTGCTTCTCTGGGGGTCCCTAGGTGACCCCTGATGTCTCCATAAAGAGGACCTGTCATATAAATGGGCTATCGCATAGGGAGCTTCTTAGCCCCCATGTGATAGCAATAAAGTTAAATGTAATAATAATAATAAAAAAATTAAAGAAGCATACAAAAAACCACTAACTTTTTTTTTTAAAGTCCCCCCACATACACATGCAAACATGCGTCGGGAGTGCCTACGTGCGAAAACGCTTTTTGTGTTACATATGGCTGCGAACGTCTGAGTGTGAGCAATAATTTTAGGGCCATTAATCACTGATAATAATACTAAACTGATCAGTGTTTAAAGTGTCGCCTATGGCCAATTATATAGTAAAACATAAAAACCCCAGTGGTGATTGAATACCACCAAAAAAAAGCTCTATCTGTCCCCAAGAAATGTGAACATAAATTGGAAGGCTATAGTCCAGTCATGCTGACTGGTGAGACACCCCAAAATTTTCAAGCCCTGCTCATCACCCATATAAAATATAACCCTGCTCAAGTCATTCTTACAGCTCTATGTAGTAAAGCTTTGGACTCCCAGAAGTTTGAACCCTTTTTGTAAGTAACAGGACCGCACTCTCATTTTTTTCAAGTTCTTCTAAGAAATGTCAGTCTTTGGCTGAAGTTCTATTTAAATCGACAAACTGCACTCTCAGAATTTTCTTCAAGGCCAAGGAGAAAACTGAGTTTGCAGCTCTAGGTTTTTTTGAGACTTAGAAGTGGATTGCTGCCCGTGTTCCTACACAAAGATATAATTTCTTATTTTATACAGTAGTGGAGATCCTTTTTACAGGGGCTGTGCACAATTTACTATCTGCCTGTAGCACTTTGCCAATTTTAGAAATGGTATGGATATTTCAGTATTTAGTTGGATTATTGTGGTCAAAATAATATGGGGTTGTAAATACAATTTACCCAAACATCTGATCGTAGTGTTGAATTTGTAGATAATTTAATATGTACAACCGTAGTCTCCCTGTACTTTTATTTTTTCTTCTTTCAATTTACATAATTGGGTTACCTGATGGGCATTTCTATCAGTAGCTGCAATATTGATTAATGAAATAGTTTGTGGTGGAACATGATTATTTCATTTGACCTTAGTAAGGGTGAGCATGCACAACCCCATAGAAGCAAGTCATTAAACATTCATTTTGACAAGCAAACTACATAGGGGTTAACCAGACCATGTTAGCAATGATTCCAGGCTTCAAAAGGGCTCCTATAGCAAACCGATTTCTGCAAAAATGGGAAAATCTCTGTGGGCTTGAGCACCCAGCACCCCCTCTGTGGAGGAAATAGGATTTTTTTTCTCTGTGGGTTGGCTAAGTTAAGGAGGAGATTCCTGTGGATGCCTGCACTGTGATGATTAGCGTAAAAACAAGTAGTTCTTGTTGGTGTTGAGAGATCTACCAGCTTGAACCTCTGTGCCAATTTACAAGCCTGCAGTGCTTTCCTACCCTGTTATCTTTTGCACTGTCCCACTCTTTTGTCAATTTTAGAGCAAAAACACATTTGACTAGCAAAGAGGGAAAACTCTGCATTTCACTACCTGCTAAATGTAATCTAGCGTAGCTAGTGAATTGCTGGTCTCACAGCTCCAATTCTTTCATTGTAGGTCGACGGTGGATAAAGCAAATGTTCATTGGAGCTTTCCTAATCCCAGCAATGGTTTGTGGGACAGCATTCTTCATCAACTTCATTGCCATGTATTATCATGCTTCCAGAGCAATCCCGTTTGGAACAATGGTAAGTAAGCAGATTTTTAAAGGTGCTGTCACCGGTGTGTAAACCAAAGTTCATGCTAGCTCTACAGTGTGCTTTTTAATTTATCTTTTAAAGGCACAGTCACATTGGGCTTTATATATTTGTAACTGCATGTAGCAGAAGCGAGACATAGGAGAGGTTTGTGCATTTCATTTCAGTTATTGATTTACTTTTGTCTTTACATCTGATGAGGTCTCCAGTTATGTCAAAGCCATCCAGTCACATTACAGATCTGTTAGTATTGGAATACTATTTACAAGATGAGCGATTAAAAAAAAAAAATGCTGAAATGGGTAATAACACATTTATATGGACAGTAAATTATTCTTTGTTTTATTTATAACACCAGCAATAAACCGGGATAAGGGAGTGCAATATAGATACATTTTTGCTAAAGATATCCAGACCCCCCACATCAGCTGCTGGAAGTGGGAAACGGCAAAATTGGTCCTGTGGCTCACTGACCGCTAGTAGTAATTTAAATCACATTAGTTTACTCAATTTTTATTGTGAACTTCCCATTTTTTTGGCTTTTAGACTCCTGTAGAGATGTACAGCTTGAGTTTTTTGTGGTCGCATACATGTCATAATTTGGGGTTGATTCATTTTGCTTGGTATGCTCAATATTATGTTCTTAATCACATCCTAAAACAAAGTTTTTAGAACTAGAGCCAGGCAGTTTTGCTATTCTGGATTGCTTACAATTTGGGAACATGCCTTATTCTGTAATCTGGTGTCGTGTCACTAGATGACACTGCTGAGCTGATAACTCTATATAAGCATTTGATGGTTTATGGGAAGTGCACTGCAGCTTCTATGCCTATTGTAAAAGGTGATAATGGATTCATTACTTTCAAACAGAAGTTTGGAAAGGTCACCAATGTACGTGTTCAGCACTCCTTTTATAAGAATTCACATATTAATAATGAAATGAATGTTTGCACACATGGTGCTGTTCACAGAATATGATGATTTAAATCTTTTGTTTTTATATCCACATTTCATACTGGAGTGGTAGGGGATCTTCATTTCTTCAGTATAATACCAGCACAAATCCCTTGTCCTGTCAAAGTTCTGAAGCTAATTTTTTTACATGTGCTGAACATGCGTTTTACCGATATTTCATTTCTTAGTAGTAATCTGATTCATGCTTCAGGAATGCTGACATCAGGGCATTCCACCTGCATTAAAGATTGCATTTTGGTTCTGTGGCTCCGCTTAATCCCTCTCTTCATTTAAGTACACAACTTCATGTCCAACCTAAGCACCATGCTTTGCTTTGCATGTTAACTGGGGTCACCCAAGGATTTGCCTTTTCTAAGAAAGGCATAACTTAAGCTCTGCATTTTACATGTCTGGATGCCGTCCAAGGTAATTGTGTATGGGCACTCTGCTTACAAATTAAGCCCGCTCTGACTTGTTAGATACAGTTTATATTCGAAGTGTAACGTGTGAGAATTTCTGCACCAGGATTGGAAATGCCTCTCTAGGTCTGTTGAATCTTCTTTTCATTCCTATACAAAATATTTTTCTGAGATTCAATTAGTTTGTCCTTTTTATGTTTTTAATTTAGAGACAGTGCTGCAGATTGCTAAATTTTATTCTTGGAAGCCACTTTCACTGACTGCAAATGAAAGACCTCAGAAAAGTTACATGCCAGCTTTAAATTTAGCATATACAACAATAGTATGCAGAGAACATTATGGAGTTTAGAGGGAAATCAAGACTTTCCCTCTTCCCTAACCAAATAATTTACAAGCATTCTCTCTCAGAGAATGTTTTAACATTGTGGCAGTAGGGAGCTGATGATGCTGCAATTCCTAAACCATGCTTTATCAAAAAATAACAGGATACATAAGTGTTGCCACTATTTCAGACAATTGTTCATGTTTTTTTTTTTTATGCTCTTCACACATTTTGTGGGTGTAATTGGCAGCAGACCCATTCAGTGACAGTGAAAGAGCAGGGTAATCTCTGTAGCTGTCAGTGATTGATCCACCGGAAATGTACAGCGTGCCCCTGGAATGAATGTAGCCCTGATCTCACTGTGAATGACTGCTTAGTAATTCATGTGACTTTGCTGTCCTAGGTTGCTGTATGCTGCATTTGTTTCTTTGTGATCCTTCCATTGAACCTAGTGGGAACAATACTTGGTCGAAATTTGGCAGGACAGCCCAACTTCCCCTGTCGTGTCAATGCAGTTCCGCGACCCATCCCAGAGAAAAAGTGGTAAGATTTTATCAACACAAAAGCAGCTAAAGGATTTTAACAAATCTAGAATATTGTTGCACCCCTTAATCAGAACTGTTATAGGTTTGTTACTTTGTGGACCCCTGCTTTAAAGAAATCCACGTATTCAAAATGTAAGAAGAAATAAATGCCTGGGGGACATAGACAAACTGAACATGTATTCTTGGGTGAGGAGCAACTTTTAGGAAATGAGTAACAGAGCTGCCATTGCTCACTTTTTTTTTCTGCTTAGAGAGCAATAATGCTGCTATTTCCAGCATCTACTACTGTTTTTAGAAGGTCAGCAGTGGTGGTTTTCATATGGAACTTTCTTCTTTATTCTTATCCACTATTTAGTGTGTCATTGATCAGATAAATTACCTAGGCAGTGAAGTTGGACTTTCACACTTGCATGCTTGTTCAGGGCCCGCAACTCACCAAGTGTTAATGCAGACACAGAATGACGAGGATGATGCACCTGGAATTTGTACCTCTAAAACAAGTCAACAATGGGAGCTCCTGTATTTTCATCAATGGTAGCGCCCATACTTTTTTTTTGGGGGGGGGGGGGGGGTTC